AAAAATCTCTATTTAAGGATCAAAGTGCAACCCTAAAATACTAATCAGTTGTCATTTAAAATCTTTTCCAATCTTTGCCACTATCTTTCAAATCAGTAGGTTTTGCCTAGTGGCTGAATGACGCTGAAACATTATTTCACCCACATTTTACCATATCACAAAAGTTATTTGAAACATTAAAGTCGACACTTTACTAGCATTTGATATGCTTTCTTTGTGTATAAAATCACTTTTGTAAATTTAATTTGATGCAGACAGACACCAAAATGGGACGTCTTGTCTTGACCCAATTATTTGTGAAATTTACTACCAATTTCTGAATGAAAATGATTTCTTCACCATTTTGTTCCCCGGCTTGTTAATACAGAAAAGTAGTAAAACTCAAGTAATGGCAAATAATGAAAGATTTTGAAAGATCTGGTCAGTTCATGTCCTTTTATCTCATTGAAAATTGTTTCACCCTGGGAAATGTCACATTACAGAAGTAAAATGTAATGTTTACTTTTCATTTGTACTTAAATATTGTATGTTTATGATACTTGTCAATTCTTTCTTATTTGTGAAATTTACTAGCAGTAAAAATTGTCTACACTATCGAAGTTATAAAGCACTTAATACAGAAAAGTATTGATTAAAAAGCAATACTGGTATTTCTGTGTGATATGTGTAGCTATGCATATTAAAACTGTTGCTGACTATGTAGCGTTCCAGATCAGTCACCTTTTGAGTTAGGATGCTACCTTAAAAGGATTCTTCATAGGTAGCATGTATAAATGCTAGCTTAATTTTGGACATTTTTCTCTCTGTCATTTGTTTGATTGACAGTAATTAGTCAGTTTGATAGTTTTGTCGAGCTGTATATCAGTTTCTGTATTTCAACCAGTAGATAATGTCACTAGCAATGGTCATGTTCATGGGTTTGATTCCCAGGGAATGATGTGCTGATAGAATGTGTACTTTGAATGCAATGTAAGTCGCTTTGATAAAAGTGCTTGTCAAATGCATAAATGTATACGAATAACGCTGGTGTTTGTTTCTCTCTTTGTCAGTAACGGGACCAGCATGATCTCGCTCATCATTCCTCCTAAAGATCAGATCTCCAGAGTGGCCAAGATGTTGGCGGATGAGTTCGGTACAGCGTCAAACATCAAGAGTCGAGTGAACCGGCTGTCAGTGCTGGGTGCTATTACTTCAGTCCAGCAGAGACTCAAACTCTATAACAAAGGTGTGTCTCTTTATCTCCACAAACAAACATACCTGCATTATGGGTGGGTGATATGGCAAAAATATCATATCACGTTTTTTTTTTTTTTT